AAAATAATGGCCGAAACAGTTTGCCGACACTAAGAAATATTCTCTCGGTGCTTTATGTATTTTAGTAGCAGTAGAGTTCCTTGTTACATACTTCGTCCAGGGAATTACTGCCACCTTACGGATTTCTACCGCCAAGCAGTAATGTGAGGCACAACACACATGGACTTGTCAAACTACGACTCAGGGTGACAGGCGCAGTGACGGTGGCCCTTAGATCTTTGCGAATTAAAGCTTTGTAACAAATATGTCATTTCGGATTTTGTTCGTATCATCTTCTTTTTTTTCATCCGCAGACCGACTTCACTCACTATGAGGTGTTAATGTCTCACCCTTCCACGACACTTGACGATTTCGTCAACCCATCTCGTTGCAAGTAACCGCTTCTTGGCTACAACGCCATAGCCTTGCTCTATCTAACATATTATATCCTTATGACAAAAAAAAATTTGCTACAAAAATTAAATGAATGATTGAATTTGGTTCTCCTCCTTCGACTAACTTGAATCTTGTCAAAAAAGCTATAAGCCGTGAAAAGAAATTTTGTATGAGTAAGCAATTTTAAGATACAAGTTAGTAGTTAGTATAGAAGAAAGAGCAATTTCTCAAAATATTTGCTACTTCTGAAAGTATATTTACTAAAACTAATACAATATTGTCATTACAAAAATACTGCTTACCTTTTTTAAATACAATTTTAAGTAATTATAAATAAATTAAAAATTTAAATTAAATAACTTTATTCTAATTTTTGGATAAAATACGTTCATTTCAAGATTTTATTTCATTTCCAATCAATTAATTGGACATTACTAGTATCAAGAAATTTTTGCATGTTACATCAAATCTAAATAATCTCAAATGAATCCCAAATTTCTTGGATGTATTTTAAGAAAATATTTTCTAAGACAAAAAAAGTTATTTTGCTAATAAGATTAATATTCTAAATTCGAGAATACATTTTTTATGGCAACATTTTGCTTTGTCATTTTCAATCTTGTCGTGACATGTTGAAAACGCGCGCGCTCCGTCTCCGTGGTACCTGCGATTGAAGAAGCCATCCATAAATCAATAGCCAATTATTTAAAACGTGAAGCGGAGTGGATTATACTTACTTAGTTTTATAGTTACAAAATTCTTGTAACTTTTTCTCACAACCTGTATGCAATGTTGCACATGTAAATAAACTTGTGATGAAACGTGATTAAATAATTCTTGTTTATATGATTTTTAATGTTAGTTGACAAAAAAAATAGCTTCGTGCAACAAAACTCGGTAAGAGTCGAAACCAGATCGCGCGTGTAAATATCAATGAAATGCTGTTTGTGCACAAGGCATTCTTATGATTATATACTCCTTTATGAGAAAACGTTTACTATTTTATTCTCTCTCTCTCTGGTTCTCTTTCTCTGGTTTCTAAATTTATTTTTCCTAGAAAAGCCAGGTTTCATTACCACCACCAGTTCATTCATTTTACATATTGACAAAACTGTATTTGCAATAGAGAATGTTTCCGTTTATTGAGTACTACCTGATGTCCGCGACTTTGCCTGCGTAGAATAAGTACTTTCGAGTACTATAGTAATTTTTATACTTTATATAGGGGATAACAGTTTGTATGGAGTGGTTCTCCATACAAAATTTTATTCCCTTTAGGATTTATTTTTGTGACAAAAAGTAGGGAAAGGAAAGCACTAGGGAAGCTCAGTATCACGGGTACCATGGTCACACAATAGACATTCACAAATTACACCGAAAGTCACGAGAGAAATAAGTGTAAGCCATACTAATATTTCTCCCGGCCCGGGAATCGAACACGGGGCATCTGCGTGGCAGACTTGAATGTTAACCATTTGGAAACGGTATTGGTTCTCCTTACAAACTTTCAGCCTCTATTTCACCCCTTTTAAAACTCATTTTTGTGATCAAAAAGTATCCTAGGTCCCATCTGTCTCTATACCAAAAATCATCAATATTGATTCAACAGTTTAGGCGTGAAAACGTAACAGGCAGAATTTCTTTCGCATTTATAATATTGGTATAGGTGTACCTAAAGTACAAGTACGTATGTGTAATACTTATTAGGGAACGCAAAGTAAGGCGAAAATCTCTGTTTTCCATCGGCAAACACGTATAATGCGGTATTCCAAAAGTTTACAATTTTGTATAAGTCATAATATATTTTGTGCCAAAGTACATTATGATTGACATTCAGCCTGATAAAGGCAAATATGAAGCCTATTTTGCAACCGAATTGCAAAAAAGATGTGGCTTTATACAATTACGTGTAATTTTACCCCTTCAATAAACGTTTTTTAAGTTACAATTGCCGTGAATACCCCCTCCTGAAATTGTAAATTAGAAAATTTTACGCAAATGATAGAAATGTAAAGTAAGTTTAAGCTACAAAAATATTCGATCCAAATCACGAATATTTGTTGTACAAAACCAACGTTTTATTTAAAAAAGACAAATCAATTTTATTTCAAATAGATCCGAAACAAATAGTTTCGTTTCCTATGTGTAACAATCGCGAAGACCTAGAAACTCGATATTAAAAAAATATTTTTTAAAGATTCCTTAATCAAAACTAAAGCAAGACACCTGTTTGAAATTGTCAAGCGACGAGCTACCTTCTTATTATTATCAAATTAGCAAGGAATCTCATAAAAACATTCCTATTAATCAGGCACATAGTGTACAACTTAGATAATGTGAAGTATAAGTTCCGAAGGCATTTAGTTGTGCATCCTATACGGCGTATTCAAGGCTCGTGACCTCTGGAGCTCTGAAACGGAGTCAAGGGTAAAATAAGACAGTAATCAACGTCCAGACGTATTGTTTTCTTTGATTAATCACCACATTGAATCTACGATTTTACGTAGTTTATCATAACGTTGCTATGTTGAACCTAGAAGGTAATCCATCCGTCAACCCATAAAACACACAGCACAAAGCACTGTTACCCGTACATAACCAAGTTACATTACCAGCACTGGGAGAGGAAAAATTATTCCTGCTACAAAACAAGGTATGTAGCAGAAATGTTTGTTCCCCTTACAAAACCAATATTGCGGAGCGGTAATGTTGTAATTATGAGGTAATTATGTACGACGTGTTTCTCTTTTATTTGTTAATAATGGCTTGTGAGACTAATTGTCTCAATTCCGCCAGTGTCCATTTCATGCTAGTTTCACAAACATCATGGACGGAATGTAAACAGAAATTTGGTTCAGTGATGCAGAGGGAGAATCAAAGAGATTTTTACACAAATTTATTCCTAGTACAAAGGAGACTGCACAAACAACACTAATTGTTAACAACATGTCGATGGCTTTTTAGAATAGTGGCCTATCTCAAAAGCATCTAACTCATCAGAAAGATAGCTTGAAAACAGTTGAGAAGCGTCTGCCACTCAAATCTGACGAATCGTAGCCCATCCCAATGTTGTCATGTGATTATTCTAACCAATGAATAGCATGGAATCTCAATCCCAATGTTAACTGCCTCCGTGACTGAACGGTTACCATACTGGACTGCCATGCAAGAGGTCCCGGGTTATATTATTAATATTTGTATGGCCTATATTTATTTATCTTGTGAGTTTGGATTAATTTGAGGTTGTCTATGTGTGTGTCCATGACACCCGCGACACAGGGTTCCCTAGTGCGGGACTATGAGTGTATGCGCATTATTAAAAAAAAGAAATATCCCGATAAAATTTTGCCTTTTTTGAATAAATGTCAGTATAAGTCATGTGTGCATGCACATACATACACGCTGCTTTATACTACACGAACAATATTTACAGAGTATATGATATATTTTTGGATCAGAAGATAGGGACAAAAGGCATAAAGGGAACACCGTAATTTAGAGCAGTCAAAGAATTTATGGTCTTTATGTTTTTCTGCCTGACTATGCAACACATTTTTTGTGTTTTAATCCTGTTCGGACGGCAGCATGTTATTGACGGAGTTCATTCCTTTGCTCTGGAGGCGATATTCGAACAAAAGTATATAGCTTGATGTGCTTTTGACTGTGCATATTTATGTCAATGGGGTTGACCTCAAACGCAGGTGTTGTATATAGATATTTATTAAAAATTATTAACATTAAATAATAATATAATATTAGACAACATCACATACGTTGCTCTGATCTCAACGTAACCACGTAAGTAACTAAAGCACTTGTGTTATGGAAATCAGAAACACCGACGGTACCACAAACACTCAGACCAGAGACAATATAGAAAACTTAATTTCTACATTGAAATCTCAGAGTTGGCGACACCTTGAAAATCGGTGTGCAAGCTAGCTACTCGACCACGGAGGTCCTCAAAAGGATAAAATAGCATAACCAGTACAGCAGTACATACTGACATACCAATATTGATTGCTAAGGGTACTGGTGAAATTACAGGCACATGAGATTTGTCAACTCAAGGTGACAGACGCAGTGGCAGAGTCCCTTAGATCTTTGCGATTTTAAGTTCTTAGTGGCACTGCAGCTGCTATGAACAGACGTGTCGCTTGTTTGTCCCGTCGCTTGCGATCATAAAAAAACACTATGCTGCTATACTAGCAGTTGGTAGTAATGTTGCAGTAGCAATTTGATTAAGCGTGCATTCGTGCCGACAGCATCCAAACTTTCAACATTGCTACAAATATTTTGCATTCGAAAATTCAAAATGCAGCTCGTCTGATTGCGTACAATAACGTATCTGAAATAAGTTGGCTACAAAAGTGGTCTTTAAAATTCATCTTTTCTTACAAAATTTCATAAAACTTCTTACTTACTTACTTCTTATTACATACATTACAGTATATCTAAAGGGCTATAAAACCACATTCATACCATTTTATACCGGCAGTGTACGGCACACCCCATCGATCGGGCGTCCATTACTTAATTGCCAAAAACCGTAGAGTCGCCGCCATTTCTATTATCTTAATTATAACATTTGTGTTTCTATATCTCAAATTAATTGTAGAACATACCTTTCCTTTTTTCTTTTAGACCTTAGGAACAAAAAGGAGACATGAGTGTGGATAAGACATAAATGCGTATTATAACAAGTTACAACCAAACAATATAAACATTTATACACACAACGGCACATTTAACGGAACACTTGTTAAATCCCCAAAATTATGCAGTGTTTTTTCAAAAGTCTAGTCGGTTATCTTATTTTATTTAATTTAGGTCTTATTTGGAAATAAAAAGTCAGTCAACGATACTTTGTTTATTAATTTATTTTAATTTTGTGCTGATACAGATTTCTGTTCTTGTGTGTGATTTTGCGTTCTTGTAAATGTAGTAAACATTAGTTGAAAGATTTTTAATTGTTAAAGTTTGATTCGATGAATATTAAATTGTTACTTATTTCAATTTTCAACAGTTTTTATATTGTCACAAAATGTAAAAAATGAATTTTTTTACGATTAATGACATTATTTTAATTACATATTTGATTTTTTTTTTCAATAAAAGTTGAGTAAATCTGTATATACTGAGTCAAAAGATGTCAATTTAATTGCTGCTTTTTTGTCTAATTATTATTTATTTAAATTATAAAGTTAGTACCTTATAAAGTCATTTTGTGTTCGTTTCATTTATGTTAAATGTGCTGGTATGTGCATATTGCAGAAAGATAGGTTTCTAGCTTATTATCGTAACTCATCGTAGTTGTGTAAATTATACAAATTGTAGAATGAATAACAAGATAATATTATAGTTTATTATTTGTTAAAAAAAGAGTCTTTGTCACAGATAATTTTAATAATAATAATAATAACACACACACTCAACATAGCCCCGCACTAGGGAAACCCTGTGTCGCGGGTGCCATGGACACACATATAGACAAGCACAATTTACACCCAAACTCACGAGAGAAACAAATGTAGGTCATACAAATATTTCTCGCGGCCCGGGAATCGAACCTGGGACCTCTGCGTGGCAGTCCGGCATGGTAACCGTTCGGCCACAGAGGCAGCTAATAAGTCATAAGTCTTGATCACAGATAACAAGTCATATCGAGAAGTATCCAGCTATCAAAAAGCTAAGTTTATCGTTAGGTCTTCTAGATAAATGTTATTTTAGTGTGACCGGCAGAATCATTATTAAAAAATCATAATGTAACACTTGCTAACGCAAAACTTTTGCGAAATTAATTCGCCAGTTATGGGTGCTAAGTAGCCGATATTCGCCCAAGCCATAAAATCCCTAATAATCAAGGAAAGCAATTTTGTTTGCTGTGGGGAATTGGGGAATATGAATTCTTTTATTCCTCTAATTCCACATACGTAGAAATACTCAAACTCCCAAATGAATTGTTTTGCAACTCCATTCCTCACAAAATCCCCAATCAAATTTGTAATTCCCCAGACATTTTATTAGGTAGCCTAAAATAGCCTAAAATAAATTAATTCCTTTTTAAAAAATAGCCTAAATATCACCGAGTCGCCGATCACTTTTTTTATCGCCGCGCGACCCAAGTAGCCTAAATGGCGAAAAATCGCCTAATCTGGCACCAGTGGCAACCGACATAGACACTATGTCGTCATTGACTATATACATAGTGGCAAAAAATGTGTTGCGCCTTGTTGCCTATTTTTAAAAGCAAGTGTAAACGCCTGGAAGCCACAAAAATCTTAGACAGAGATAGCAAAAACATTGTAAGCGCCGAAAAAGGCTTAAAATCCATTGTTTTTAAAAAATTTTGCTGTTACATAATCGGTTACAAAGTTAATTGTTATATAAAATTCAATTTAGTACCACATTTATATGTAGGAATACTTAAAAAGAAATCTCTCCTGTAAAATTTGTTTTTAGTCGCATACTCTAAGTCGGCGGTAATGGCACGATATTAGGTAATTTTTCTCGTCGTAGCTTATCTTTTCTAATTCAACACGTATAACGTATTGTATCAACAATGTCATATAAATCTTGCAATACAACAAATTCACATAATAAAATCACTGTCTGCGAAGGAAAAAATATACATTCAGGGGTACACGTAAAAACAATGAACTTTCACTCGAGCTGATTTAGTATACTTTATCGTGAAATCAAAGCTGCGGTGGTGGTAATTCAATTTGGTAAACAATCCGTTTCCCGCGGCTAGCCTCGCATTCGCAACACGCACGCACCTGTTCTCCTTTATTTGTGGAGAAAGTTCCAACTCAATCACGTTAAGCATCTCTCTTCTTTAGTCACTTGATTTTATTTACTTACCCAAAACAATCTTTGATTTATCACAAAACGAAATCACATTTTTTTTATAGAGAATCAACTTATTAAATTTAAAAATAAAAATTATTCAAAACAGTTTGTTTCTTCTTCTTCTTCTTTTAAATGTTATGGCTCCATCGAAATAATCAATGATTTTGCCAATGTCAAGTAAAAATAACTATGTACGGTAGTTTAATATTATTATATTAAATTGCTTGTGACGGTTTCTCAAATGTTTTTTTCTAATTCGACCAGATTGTAATATTATGAAAACCTTTTTGAATTTATTACTATTAATTTATAATAAAATCGTATCAAAAATCCGTTAGGTGACGATTTTGTTTTACTACTTTTGTAGATATTTTTAAAATGAATACAGAATTGAAAGTCTAACGGTTGTTGTAAGTGAAATTTACAGGGCCTGGTTAATTCTGTCACGAAAGTTTTCTTAAATTACTTGCACGCAAAATAAGAAGTAATCATCTAGAAATGAAAAAAAAAATAAAGGTAAAACAAAGCAACAGACATTCATGTTTATGTAAATATAATAATTATGAATAATCATGATTAATGAAATTATGAATACGAATAATTATTAACCATAACACTATTGTTGTAAAGTTACAATGAAGTCTCTTGTTGATCAGCGACGTCTGTCATTGGCTTTACCGGCTGGAAACTTACATATTTTGATTAAAAAAATATTCTAATCACTAGGAATAATATACGTAATAGCACTCAAAATCAAAGACAAAGTCAAATAATCATTTATTCCATAGGCAAAAAATATACACTTCAAAACGTAATTTTTAAGCTGCTGCTCGCTCTGTGCTGACTTCCTTGAGAAGAACGAGCAAGAAATTCTAGGAATTGCTCTTTTCAAATAAACTTATATGCTACTATGAATCAAATTTAACTGCCTTCGTGGCCGAACGGTTACAATGCCGGACTGCCACGCAGAGGTCCCAGGTTCGATTCTCGGGCCGGGAGAAATATTTGTATGGCCTACATTTGTTTCTCTCGTGAGTTTGGGTGTGATTTGTGGTTGTCTATGTGTGTGTCCATGGCACCCGCGACACAGGGTTTCCCTAGTGCGAGAAATATGTTAATGAAATATTATCTGGAAATTTACCATGAGTTTTTCGGTGAAGGTAAACGTCGTAATGAAACCTACAATTCGCGAAAGTCCACAACCCGCATTAGACCAGTGTGGCAAAAACCCTTCGTCTGAGAGAAGACCGGTGCCCAGGAGGGGCAAGTATAAATGGGTTGATGATAGTAGATAATTAAAGATTTCATTACATATTCCAAATATAAATAAACATTTTCTTAGTAAACTATGGAATTGGGCTTAAGAAAGTTAAAAAAACCAATTTTTCCTCACGTTTTATCTCTCTCTATAGTATGTTTACTGTTGCTCTAATTGAAAAGTATATTATAATTTCAATATTGCTTAATTATATTCATGTATGTGGACGGATACATTTTTAATTTTAGGTTCATCTAAAATGATACAGACCACATACAAACCAATAGTATAGTAAACTGTTGGCAAAAAGGGCACGTGCCAACAACTTTTTAACCGCGAGAAAAAACAATAAGGCAATATCTCACACATATCGTTTTCACCCGGCAGATGAGTGTAAACCCCATTATAATTGAATCGCAGGAAAAAACTATCACAAGCAGACCGTTACACATTTTTATGTGTGTTTTAAAGTTATTGTCATAGGGTACAATATTGTCTAACACAAAGATTTTTGTGACGTGGATGTTACTTACGCACCCCGGGCTAACATTAGTTGATACATATGATTCGTGTACGACTGTAACCAAATCAATTGTCCGCCATCGAGGGCTTGTCTGCCTTTAATCACGCGAAACGATATCATTAGGAAACCATCATAGTTTCCTTTTTAATTTCATTTTTAATTATATAACCATAAGTATCGAGTTCTTAGGTTTTCGCGATTGTTACAACATTAAAATGAAACTATTTTTCCGGATTTAAATCGCGTATATTTGTTTTTTCAAACAAACCTTACGCTTGACAGTCAACCGTGACCATGGGACCTGTAAAGGGCCCGAATCGTCGGTTTGTTTGAAAAAACAAATATACGCGATTTAAATCCGGAAAAATAGTTTCATTTCCTAACTATAAGTAACTAAATAGTGTCTAATCGCAGTCAATTTTCTTTTTTTTAATGTTACTAAGTGACGGGACGAAAAAGTTGTGCGCCTGATGGTAAGCGTCACGCCTGTCATAACGGTTGCAATGCCACTCGTAGCTTTAAATCGCAAAGATCTGAGGGGCACTGCCACTGCGCCCGTCACCGTGAAACATAAGTTGACAAGTCCCGTGTGCCCTTACCGTTTTAAACCGGAACGTAGTAATGGTCACATAATCGCTTAGCGGGAGAAATAGTCAAGGTGGCAGTACTTTCTTGGACGAACTCTTTCATAAGGAGCTCTACTGCTACTATTCAATTTATCCTGTATTAATAATTTGCTACGAATAGTACAGAGTGTAAGAAAATGGATCCACAGGAGAATTACATACTCGTGAAAACAAACAACCTAAGTAAAAATTTACAAAACTTTGGTCGCACATACAAAAGTGTATTATTTTGTAACTTCTGTATATTTTTGTCAATTTGCATGTCTCCGCGCACTGTATCTGTAATGTCTCTGAATTAAAAAAAATAGTTCACTTCTTTATATTTATTTATCTCAAAAAATAACAAACTACTTCTTTGAAAACAACACCGGTAGTAAACATGAAAAC